AGGTCTTCTCCAGCAACATTCAATTTTAGACTGCCCACACTCCAGCCCCTCTAAGAACAACACTGGCACCTCCTTGTGAAAATTTAACATGCACATTTTCTATTTAAAAATAGACTCAGAATCTTAAAAAAGAGCAATACACAGAACAACTGTGTCCCTTTCTGCACCTGTCATATAAAAAGCAAAAGGCACTTTGGAAAAAGGTTGTGAAACATGCTGAAACCAAAATGCCTTTAGCTGCATCTACTGTATATCTTGGAGAAAGCTAAAGGGGACACTTTATTAGAGACCATTGTCAATGATCAATCTGAACAAACATCTCCCACAGTCAGAGTTTTCTGAACAGTTTACAGAGAGGCCAAAAGTCATAAACCAGATTATGGTCACCGACAAAAAACTGCCAGAAACAAAGTGGAATTTATATGGGATTTTGCCCTCCAATGGTGCATGCTCAAAGATTCAATAACACATTTCTTGTCATATGTGCAAGTGCAATGAAATGCTTATTTGCATGTGTGCTCCAATACAAAAACATTAAAGGAGTCACCGAAAACATAAACACAGAAAAGAAGCAGCAACAACAACTAGTTAAATAACATATAACTTAAAAAAAACATCTGTGTGAGCCTATGCTAGGGGTAGAGTGCAGTAATCTGACAGCTTGAGGGAAGAAACTGTCTCAGAGTCTGGACGTCCGTGCCTTTGTGCTCCTACAGGTACAGTATAACCCCTACCAGAGGGAAGGGGGGAGAAAAGTGAGAAACCAGGCTGGTATCCTTAAAAATACTTCCAGCCATCCTGAGACAGCGAGACAATTTATGCACATTTCTGTTTAAAAATGTATAAGCTAGTATGTACAGTAACATGATTGAGCCACGTTTTTGTTTAAAATCCTCTAGGACAGATTTAAGGAGTGCTCCATGCTATCTTCTCAAACAATTTTCACCTCATATCGAGTAAACTGAACTGAACAAAATCACGGTTTTATCAAAAATATTAGAATTTTATCCTTGCAAAAAATATATATATTGTCAATTCGGTTACTCATTGACTCTTTATGAAATGTGTGTTGCAGTCCAAGAGTGGACACAACACCACTCCCTAAACTGAGGCAAACTCCATTGAAACAAAAAAATGTTCTCCTGCTACTACACTATCTGGGTGGGTTTCAAGGGAGGTGATGCCTCTTTTGTAATATGTTTACTGCAAGAAGCCAAGTTTTGTGTACAGTATATGTTATGAGGAGATCATACAGTTAGAAATTCTACTGCTGATAGATTTTTAGATTGAAATAATAGAGGAGGCCTAACAGCATTATGGTAATTGAAATCACTGCAAAATTCTTCTTTATGTGAGCTTGCCAACACGTTCTCTAAAGTGGTTGCCTGAAAGTGTCACGGTGAAGCACTTCGGTACCTTCTTTGCTCCTCATACATCCCTTCACATGGAGCTTAGGCACCTCATGGTTTACAAATTAAGCACTGAGGAACTTTATCAAAAGCCTTCAGAAAACATAAATATGCAGTATCGTCTGCTCTGTGTGTGCACTATCATTTGGAATGCCTCATAGGTAGTTATGGGTGAGAAGAAGTTATAAAACCTTTTAGTCACACTTTTAAGATTGAGTTTATAGCTGGAGGATTTTATGCTTACTGTAGAAAGCAGTAATGTTCATACTGCATTTCATATAAGACGATACCAAGCTGGGACAAAAGAAAGGGGAGAATGAACTACTGTATGCGGGATTCCTGCAGATTTGAAAAAGACTCTTTATGAGAATACAGACATATCAATGTTTTGGAGACTACCAGCTATAGTAATGCCCCACTTACAAGTGTTGGCCAGGCTGTGAAGCAATGACCAGAATCTGGGATGGAATTTGATTTCCTCATTTGGGCACAGCTGCTTAACAGATTTTATAGCTCTCTAGTCTCTGTTCTGATGCATACTGGAGACCAAAAAGCCTCATGGCCTCACTGCCTCTGCACTCACTCAGAATGTATTTATTATGTCTTAATTATACTTCTGTGGTGTTGGAGTCATTAATGCACAATTAAACACTCAAGGTGTGTACAGCAGCTGAAAAGTAATTAATCATTATTTATAATGTCTGTGACACCTTGAGGAAACCTCTCTGAAGAAATTGCATATGCTATTTATTGACTTCTTTTGGGGAAGTCTAATGTCTATATTTGAAAAAGACCTATTGTCCCATTTTTCCACTGAATTGAACTCTTTGATTTGAAAGGATACACACAAATCAGCAATATCGAATTAAGTGTAGGCAGATAACCCTTTACTTCAGGTTCATGTTAGCACAAGTGAGCAAAGTCTGCGTCCTTGTTTGTTTAGCCTGTGGATGAGTTTTATGATGGTGCACAGTTTCTTTACTCTGCTGTTCTCAATATAATCTTGAAAATGTTGGGTTTACATAAATACCAAAATACTTCTCACATAAACAGAATAATTTGCATTTTGCCACCTTGTACGTGTTGTAAGTGCATCTGTTCATTAAATATCATCTACCAGGCATTAACCCAATCCTGGGTTAAGTCTCTTTAAATTTCTTTATCTCAAAATTAAAGTAGAAACCAGAGCTTGAGGAAGCTGCTGATTAGAAAATAATTCGGTGTTTATGTAAAACACATAGATTTAGTCTTTTAGATACTATGGAGATGGAAGTAAGAAGGCAAAAATATTAGAATAGTCAGGATTCAAATCAATGGACGCTGTGTTAAAAACTGTAAAATGCACTAGTAAGACCTTTGAAGAAAAGCTTTCAGAAAATAATGTACAATTCAGATTCAGGTTTATTATGTCCTGCACTGCCTCCTTGAGCGCAGTCATGGATAAAGGCACTTTCAGTATAGCTAGTTCTGTAGGAGGACTGAAGAAAATGTTATGTGGTGTAGTCTCAGAGATAATAAATGATTGCCATTAAAAACTGTCAAAAAACAATTCTGTCAAAAAACTTTGAAATGTCTGAACAGTACATAACATTCTTTTCTATAATTTCTATTATCATTACCACATAATAGTGGGATACTGAACATACACTCGATTTCCATTTTGTTTTCCTAAAATGAGATTTATGCACTTGTGAAGAAATTACAGGAGAATTAGCATTAAGAAAGAGTTTGACTATTGTTACATATAATGTCAGTGGAGCTAACCAAACCACAGTTAAAAATAAAGGATTCTTCCAATTACAATAGCTTGAAAATACTTGCTGTCTCATTTTGCAGATAAAATGCCATTGTTTGCTTGTAACCTTCTATTTGAGTAATGAAACTATTACAAAATGTGGTGTGCTGCTCTTATAGTGACAAACAGTACATAGTTTCTCTGTGCTTTTTATCAGAGGAAAAAGAGCTTGAGAGTATGATTTAATCTGCCAAATGTATCCAAAGGAAAGTGAATATCTCCATTCTGAATAATTTGCAAGATCCATTCGGAAAAGAAATTCACACAGTGATGTATGGGAACATTAATATATAAAATATAAAGAAAACAGAAAACTGTTTTCTAAAATATCTTTTTAACTTGGAAAGTAGTTCATCTTGAGATCTTGCCTAAAAAACAACATTAAAAAATACAGCTACAGAGGTAAATTTCTCCTGGTTCAAAATAAAAAATAACCCACAATATATTCCAGTACTCTGAATATATTTCCTTATACATCATAGTCCAGAACATATTTTATTATTAAGATGCATTTAATGAAATATACTAACCAATTGAGCGAGCACAAACATACGACTCCATAAGCTTTGGTTTCAACATTCTGTCATCACTAGTGTATCTGAAAAGTAATGTCTTTAAAACATTTCTGACTGAAAACTGATTTTGTTTATAACAATCATTAGTAGTTACTCATGTATATTCACATGTATGTACATGTACATTTAACCAAAACAGAGTGAAGTAACAAGAGCTCCAACCAGGATTTGAACATATAGCTTTCTTGTTACAAATACAGAGCGATTACCACTAACACCTATTCCACTACCTCCTGCTAGATTTTTGCCTAGTGTTCCAGAATACTGAAAAGAGGTTCAAAATGTTTTCAAAATTGCTTTGTATGAGCTCTACCAGGTAGAACTGTATACAAGATGTATACCTGCAGAGATGTAAATTAGTGCTAATTAAAGGTAATACATAACTTTAAAAAATATGTATCCTAGAACGTGTTCATATTCCACTTAACAGAAATAAATCAAAGCAAGGGATGAGTAGAACAGGTTCTTGTCTTTCTGAGCAAACGAGGAAAAACTATAAGCCCATGTGTCTTCCCAATCCGAGATGCTGAAATACGAGGCTCGTTTCCTATATTCGTAAATTAATTTTTGTTGAGCTACTGAGCCATATGCCTAATATACAGTAGCTTATCCTGAGGTTACAATCTACATTTTAGATCTAAAAATCATTAACAAGATAGTTGTAGGGCTGGCTGATTTGTGATTCTGTTCTGGCCAGGATTTGCTGGTAAAGCAAATTGCAGCAGTTCATATCAAGACTTACTTACTTTCCATTCAGGACTGCAAGTCCAACAAAATCCCGGTTATTCATCCCACACAAGAGAAGTGAACCTCTCTGCATCAGAAATAGTTTCTCTGTCTTCACAAGTATTCTAACAATGGGGAACTACTTTTAAATAGGCTACTTCATCAACTTAAGGCCAAACTTAAGATCTAGTGATCATAGCATAGAGCTATGAACAATACAGTATACATAAAAATACAGCCTGCTCAATTGTCACACTGTTTATGACTTAAATTCCAATACGTACATAAAAACATTAATAATATTGTTTTTTTATACACAGCCGTTTCTTGCTTTTACATGACATTACTTGCTGCTACATGATCTACCCAGAGAAATGACAGTTGCAGATTCTCCTAGGTTGTAGCAAAGAAAAGCCCTAAAACAGACAGAACCTTGTATGGTTAGGCTCCTCATTTCTTAACATTTCCCCCCCATACACATAAGCACAAACATTGTTTTTTCATTTTTCTTTTATTTACAACAAATACAAACTCCATGGTTAAAAAAAAAATGGTAGCGGCAGTTGCTGAAGGTTTCACTGCTCTCCCTGGGAGAGATGTCCACCTAGAAAAATAGATACAGGTTTAAAATGGCAGCCATGCCTTGAACAGCTCAAGAATAGAAAGAACATGCCCAAATTAAAAAAAATGAAGACAACAGAAATATAAAAACATAACGTGTGTACAAAGACATTAAAACAAACAGGTAAACATTATTTTTAATTTTACTTGGATAAACAAGTTTCTCAAAAAAATATTTAAATGGCAGGGCAATTTCCACAGTCAGTCAACTTAGAAAGGAGTATACACTGCAGACTGCTGATTTGCACAAAAATCAAATTAAAGAACTGATTAAAAACGTCTGACAGTGTATCTGCAGTTACTTATTAATCCACACATGTAAAGGATCTCTATATTATGCAATTGTTTGCAAACAATTTCTGGGTCACACAAAAATGTGTGGTGAAGTGGACATTCTGGCCTCAGCACACCAATTGCCTTGTATCAATAGTGGCATTTAGGTTCAGTAATGATTAGTGCACATTTTCCAAAGATATTTTGTACCCAGTCACAGACGCAGTCATTTGAACACTGTCATAACATGTACAACTGCATTTCTGCAAAGTGTTATACAGCATGTTTCGAATAAACAGTTGAAAACGATGAGTTTTGTATGTTTGGGTAATGTAAGTGAAGTGAAACTGATCAATTGGGCATATGCTTTTGGGCAACCAAAATCACTTGGTGTCCTGTTAATGAGTTAGCACACACAGCATTTAAATTTAAAATAACCTAGAAATGTTCATTAAACATAAAATAAATAATTTTCATGAAACAGATTTGGCTTAAGTTCATAAGCATTCAGAATGAAAAACATCTTATTTACAAGAAAAATCCAAACATACTCACATATTTTCTGGCAAAGACCAGACCCGCACTGCTCATTTGTGCTGGGACTTATTTCCTGAAGCAGAATCCCTTTGGCTCTGCTTTAGTCCCTGTGGGACACAACAGAATTTTCTTTTGCTCAAAGCAAACAACCTTTGATGCATTATGATCCTCTATACATATTTTACATCAGAACAGGAAAAAGAAAAGATTAATTGTATCTCTATTAAGAGAATCTTTTTCCGGGTCAATCCAGGAACGTAATATGACAGTTTAAAACCATTCTTTCACAAACACACAACAGAAAGGAGTGAGTTTCTGGGTCAGAAGGCTTTCCATGTATGTGTAGTGCAGAGAACTTATTATTTCAGTCCCACTATATACACATGCAAAATTGTATATATTGTAGTATACTGTATATCATTTCTGGTATGGTATGACTTCATATAGCCCCGGACATCTTTGCAGCTCTTGAAACTATATTTCAAAATAAAAAGAACCTCTAAATTATTTTCAGCAGTGAACGTCTAAAAAGCCAGCATCTGATTTTGAAACACTGGATAACACCTCATCTCCTTTAATATGTGCAATGCATTGTGGCATTATATCTCAGAGCTGCGTTGCTAAGAAAGTCTAGGTTTTGAAAAGGAAGGGGAGGCCTGTGGTGCTTGCACTGTGATGTGCCATATGCATATTAAGACTGAAGACAGAACCAAATGTAAAGAAAAATGATCGAAATTGAAGTGGGATTGGGATGGCTTCAAACAGAAGAAAACAAAGATGACAATAGGGGATTTCAGACTGAATTGACCAAGTGTTTCACATTTATATTAAGCTCTGCTGGGCTCCCTTAATGCCTTATTTCAAATGAGAAATTCACTCACAAAAAATCCACATTAATAGGCATTTTCTGAAAAACCTACTTCTGCTGTAAAAAATATGCATTAAAGATGACAGGAAAAAGGCTGTGAAGGAGCAGTGCAAAAATGACAAAAGTATGAACACATTTAATAAATTAGTGAAATCAGCCAGTTGCATAACGTTAGATAGTTTTGTGGCCACTCAAGATTGTGAAACTGAGAAAACTGTCCTCAGATGGTGAATATATACTGTATTAGAGCAGCTGTACCGTGAAAACTGAGAATGTATTAGGATGCTTATGCTGAAAATAAATGTCCTTTTTCATTTACATGAATACGCATTAGCTCGGTCTGAACCAAAATAAATGTTGTCTATATGTGCTTACTGTATGTGACAGGTGGAAGAAGATTATATCTACTGTTGCCGTTTAGTGGTACGTACTAGATAATAGCCCGTGTGGTATCCGCTCATGTACCATGCGATTAGCATGCTGCCCAAGGCTTCATAATCTTCTGTGAAGTCTGGACCCAATGGAGGTGGAGGGGGGATCAGCTGGAAGAAAATATAATATCAGAGAACACATTCTGATAGAACTGTTGAAAATCACTAAATACTAAAGACTACTAAATATGGAAAAACACACCTGTCTAATTATATAAGAAAGTCATAATCCGAAATCTGATGAGATATAAAAAGACTACCAGATTCAATTCAATGTGTTCTTGTTTCACTCTCTGTATGTTTACTGTAGGGAAATGACCAAATACTCACCGGAGGTCCACCTGGAATTAATGGAGGCCAGCCAGGGAAGGCAGCAGCAGGTCCATCAATTCTTGGTTCAGCCTGCAACCAAATACTAGCTGTTTTGGATGCTTCACACACCCCTCTATGTAATTATGCACTGACTTTAGTTTTCTGTGCCCTGTGGCTTTAGATACATTTTCTATTGAAAAAATATTTTCATATTTATCAACATTGTTAAAAGGCAGGAATCCACACAGACATTTAAAAACAAATTACCAACAAACCAGAAACTCTTTAAATATGACACACAATGACTTAATGTCAATCTGAAAACTGCTTCAGTCAGATCCACTGACTTCATCTGCCGCTAAGGTGAAAAGGAGCTTCACGCATTCACATTTAAGCATCAAATGCCCCACATATTTCATATTTTGATGCATTCGTAATGATCTACAAATAATAGTTTTTGACAAATCCTTCTGAACAATATATCCCCCAAATGCCAACCATCCATTTTGTTTTAGGAACTGTTAAAACTCTTGTACCAAACATGCCCTTGTCCCCTGATGGACATTCGGGACATTTGCTTGTTTTCACATTGTAAGACCACTGCACAATACGCAGAGCTACGGTGTCAGACATTACATTCGTATTTCTTACTAATAATACTGTAAGCTCACAGAACTCCTGCTGTGCAACAGTCCAAGGAAATATTTGAAATTAGACATGAAGTACAGTTTTGTTTATAATTGGCGCTGCAGCAGCCGAGCTGTCCTCTTAATGTCCTTGAACCCCTTTGATTTCCGAGACAATTAAGTGTCACAAATTTGACCCATCTCAGGACTGCAGGGTTCAGTGGTTTTTCTCAGAGCATGCTACCGCAAGTGTAAACTCTCAGGGGTTTCACTGTGTAGCGGAGCTCGTTTGGGCACGGTGATGTCATCGCCCTCCCAGCACATAGCAGGGACCTCAGCCGCATGGGCTGAGGGAGGTCTCCTTTTGCTCCTTCGGCTGGTTCCTTGTTGCATTATGCCGGAGACCCAGGTTTGCGCCCACGTGTTGCGGGACGAACCGGCGGGGTGGAGCGGCAAGGGCACGAGCCCACTCGGAACCACCACAGTCACAACTGCGCAATTTTAATTTATACTACAGCAAGCGTGAGCTTTTCTTCCACTGTTTGTTTTACAGAAAGTCATATAAAAAATGTCAGACTGCACTTACCATGCCAAACCCTGGCATTGGCGGTGGGGGAGGGGGAAAACCACGATTCCACAGAGGGGGTCCTGGAGGAGATCTGGCTTTGGGCTTAGCCTGACTGGGCAGGTGCGGGGTGGACGACCTGTCACTGTCATCAGTTGAAAACTCAGGATCATTCTCCTGGAACCAAATTTAAAAAAAAGTTTATTGTGAAACTGAAGTGAATTTTGCTACACATAAAGCATGAACACAAACTAATTTCAGGGTCAAATAAGAACAATAACAACAACAATAATAATAATAATGTCTACTACTGTTCTAGTCTGTTACCTTTAAAAGTGGCTTTTCAAAGCATTTCACAGTAAGAAAAACGAGAGGAAACAGCAGAATTACACAATTGCAAAAATGGGTTTGGAATAGAGTTAAGAAAGCAAAGGGATGGACACAGAACCAATTAAATAAAAGTCCTTCTAAAGAGAAGGCCCCCTCATCCATAGCATGTACACTGGCTTGGGGGACAGACAGGGGACCAGAATTAAATGAACAAGATTGCAAGCAGACTGATAGTAAGTCAGCCAGGAACTTAAGTGCCTAGCCATGTAGAGCCCTATAGGTGAGCCTGAAGATTTGGAAGTTGAAACAAAAGCTGACAGGAAGCCAGTGCAAGGATTCCATGATAGGAGTAATGTGACCTGCATGAGACCTGGTCAGGGTTATGTCTGAAGTTTGTTCAGTGTGGATAAATACCCTAGTGAGTAGGACAGTAATCAACTTAAGAGAAGACAAAAGTGTTGACTAGCTTCTCAGCTACAGCTAGTGACAAGATATTTCTGTGGTGGAAGAATGAAGTTTTTATAACATCATGTATGGATCAAATACCATCCCCAAGTTCTTCAACAGATTGAAATTCAAGTACAGTGCCATCCACAGATAGGGTTACTGCATTTGCTTTACATAGTTGATGGTAGCTAATAGTTTAAATTAAGACATTTTTCAGTCAGGGATGCAATTAAATAGTGCAGAGAGACAGCCACCTCGGTGTTAAGTTTATTGTGGACATAGATTTGAGAATCATTATAGTGGAAATTGTCATTTAGACCATGCAATCTTAATAACCAAGTGGGAGCATACAAATGCTGAATAGTTTGAACTCAGTATTATGAGCTCAACTACAAAACTGAAACCCCCAAGAGAGATAAAGTTTTGGTGATCACTAAGGCAATAGGTAAACCATTTAAGAGCAATGTCAGAAACTCTAAACACAATCTGAAGATGAGAAGGTAAGATGTCATGATTAACAGTGTCAAAAGCAGCACTGAGGCCATGGAGAATAAGGATAGAAAGAGAACCAGGATCATAAGCTGTAAGAAGATGATTAGTGACTTTAAGCAGAGCAGTTGCTGTGCAATTGTCTGAAACCAGATTCAAACAGATTATTTGCAATGAGATGGTTATTTAACTGAATTGAACTGCATGATCCAAAATGTCTGCAAGTATTTCAACACACAGGCTCTAAAGCAAATTAGGTTAAACATCATGGAAAAAATATTCAATTGCAACTCTCTCTATTTCATATTACAGTTCAGGTCATATCAAATTTTATACCTGGGCAGCATTTCCCATTTCAACCTCTTCCTCAGAATTCTGAGACTGAAGGTCCAATAGGCTCTGCTCCTCCTCATTCCCATAATCAGTGTAAACAACAATACAAGTGCCTTTCTCATGGTCTACAGATTTAATAGTAGCTGGATAGGCAATGCCATCTTCTGACCAAACAGAAATGCAGGAATCCCCAATCTTCCACTGCAAAAACAAATAGTAGTAGTTAGGAACATCAAATAAAAATAAAAAATGAAAAATTAAAAATGCTGATTTTTAGTTTATTTGCTTAATTCGCCACAACATACATGGAACTGTAAAAACATTACTTCAAGAAGATAAATCTCTAGGTAAATTTTTTTTTTTTAAATAAGAGAACGGCAGTCCCAATTTCTCAGACTGGTTATTAAATTCAGGTAAAAAAACTGATTGATGGTATACAAAAAATGACAAATTATTGAATTAATAACCGTGTTAAGTACGTGTCAAGCAAACACCGTGAGCTTTGTGTAGTCGCCATGTTGTTGCAAACCCCTGGTCTTGTCACGGGCGAGAAAGGGAGATCCCACGAATTGCGACATGAAACACCCCTTCCTGCTCACTAGCCACTGCAACGACTAATATAATGCGACGTACTGTACAAATGAATAAGTACAAATTGAGCAGAAGACATTTCATCGCAGAAATGTTCCAATGTGATCTGCATGCAGAGTTAACAAGTAGTATGCTGGCAAAACTGCGAAATAAGAGCAACATTTCTATTGGATTAAAAGAGACGTGTAGGCTGTGCATACATGGAAATTCAGTCTAGTTTGTGATGTAAATTGAAGGTTTTACAGTGACTGTGTACATTTGAATTTTATTGTGGTTTGAAAGGCACTCATCAAAGTTAGCTCTCTTTTAAGTGGTGACCCATGAGTTCAAGGTAACACCCTTTGTCTCTGGTATAGCCCATCTAAAACCTTTATCTGTCATAACCTATTAATAAGACACTAACTGTGGTTAGAAATTTCTAAAACATGTGGAAGCAGTGGAAAGTAAAGAATTTATTTATATTGCAACAATGTCTAATTTAGGACTATTTTTAACAGCATTATCAGTGTGACAATTTCTTAAAATATTAACATTGCCGATACCTCCTTGTCTGGGATAGCGTTGTTTTTCTTTCGGCTTTTGCTCTTCTTGTTGCTTTTACGCTTCTTTCCAGCTGGTGATTTTCCTTTTTTAGGTAACTCAGTGTTATCCTCACTCTTCAAGGCATTCTACACACAGACATGAATACTTAGATTTATAGAAAGAAGGACAGAAAACAAGCTAGATTCCCATGCTTTACTTGAAAACCCAACAGTGGACATGTAACAAAAAAGAGAAATAACTACAAGGTTATAAATAAAACAAGGCCGATTAAAAACACTTAAAAACTACATTACATTTAAGGAAATCTAAACCTTCAGACACAAGTGGGTGCCGTCACATAACACTAACTGCACGTTTTTTGTAAATCACCTTAAAGGATGCCACAGCCTTGTCATATGCCTTTATTAACGCTGTATCATCCCAGATATCAGAATCATCACTCTGAAAAAGAAAGAGAAAAAATTATACCTTTTGCAAAGTGCAGTTTCCAGTACTTCCTTTTAGGAAGTCAAGTTTAACAGCGACAATGTTAAATGTATTATTACAAAAAAGGGCAGGAAATAACCAAGTGTATCACACCAGATATGTTCTTGGCCTCTCATATATTAGAAAAAAAAACGTACTTAATGTTTTAAGTACACATTACAGAACCCAACAGTAAATGTATATACTCGTTTAGATTACCTTACTAGACAAAGAACAAACCGAATTCGTTTACATAAGGGATGGAGACTTCACTAATGTCTGTCTACAAGAAACCTAACAGATCTTCGAGAGATGACAGCATCCAACTGGCTGCCTTAAATTTGAAGTGTGCAGATTTAATGAAAATATACTGAAATGCAAAAACTTTTAAAAATGTATTTGCTTTGCGGTGGCGTGCTGGAACCTCGCCTTATAAAAATCTACATTGCGTTTTAAAATTTTCAGACGAGGGTGACGAATTTCAAAAACGAATGACATACGTACGACAGTCAGCGAGGACACAAAATCGCTAAAACAAGTCACTATAACATACAAATCACTACTATAAACAAACAAACATTCTAGCTTGTTCTAAACTTGCCACCACATTTCAGCTTTAACCCGGACTAGGCCTCTAGTTCCATAACTACTTGATAATATAATGAAAGAAAAAAGATAAATAGATAAATAACCAGTGGAATCGAATAAACTTACTTGTCCAATGCCTCGTGTAAATAGTACTTCTTTATATCCATTTGCCATGAATAAACACACGTTTAAACACAGACCTGCAGACAACAATTTGGAAACAGCGTGAATTCACTTCGGGCGACAGTTGTTTAAAATGATGTCATAGACCTGCGACAAACACTGGCTGCTCACGCCTGGGAAGCTTTGCGTCAGTTTTCCCCTTGACAACCAGGGTGAAGAGTAGTCAGTCCAATTGTAGGCAGTTAATTATAATTTGCCGCCTCCCAAAAAATCGTGCTAAATCGCATTGTGCGTTATTTGTATTTTAAAATATTTAATATATATATATTGCTTTTATTTAATATGATAGATGCAGCATTAAGCTCATCGGGAGCTCAGGTTGTTTTAGCAACTTCAAGCGATGAAAATTATCCACCCGAAAATATCATCGATGGGTAAGTATCTTCAATCAGATAACTAAATTATGAATTTAATATTGCTTCATCGTTGCTCTTTCAGTGTTGAGTGAACTCACGTGACATTCCGTGTGAAACTTTTTTTTTGTGATTTTCATGTATAGGTGATGATGTTTTTTTTTTTCTTTTTGTTTCAATCTCGTTTATTTAGAAGCACAGAAACATTTTGGATTTCTACGGGAATGTTTCCACAGGAGTTCATCATCCGGTTCTCCGGCACACAGAAAATCAGACTGGTCACTATTCAGAGTTACAACGGTAAGGCATGGTTTAGTAATCGCTGCTGCAGTACTTTCTAAATAGAAAGTGCTTTCAACATCAAATTTAAAATTCAAAGCTATGTTCACAGATCAGTTAGATGTTTGTATATCTTTACATACGTAGACGTAATTTTCTATTTAGACTATGGAATTAAATCTATGTTGAGGTGTATTGTCAGTGAATAGTTTAAAGTTTTTTTTTTAAACTGGAACCTGCTTTTACATTCTAAGTGATTTTATTTTTTGTGCAGTGAAGAATCTGAAAATTCAGAAAAGTACATTTAGCGATGCAACAGATTTTGAAGGCATCATAGACAAAGGTAAGCTGAAGATAATTTTATCAGATAATTTTAGAAAAATATTTTGCCCATCCAAACAAAATGTATGCTGATGGAATTTAAACCATTTTTTTATATGAGTTTTGTTATCATTTTAGAATCAAGATATAAATATATATTCTGTTTATTCTCCCCATGAATTTCAGATAATACAGATGTCATATCTGAGCTAAGAATGTACAACGTGGTTAACATTAAAAATAAAACCGTGATTTGTTTCTGTTACACATGGTAGTTGAAAAGTTTTTAGGTTAGTAAGTCCTGAATTATGATATAGCCATAGAGAGTCACACCAGTGATTAAAAGGTTTTCCTGTTCACAATCAAACCAGATTAACCAGATCATTTGGAGAACTGTTGACTATATTGTACCTGTTCAAATTTTAGGCGTTTTTAAATTAGTAAAAGGACTTAAACTTTTAACACCATAATCAAGAGATTTAAGTTAAAATGCTAATATTAGTATTTAACAATAGTTTAACCCCATGTGTTTATTCTTTTTCTTGTCAGAATTTGAGCACACAGAAGGACAACTTCAATCTAATGATTTTGCTGTAAGTAAAACATTTTGCCTTAGAATTTTGGCTTCATTAAAAAGTTTTGAATGAGGCCGTTTGTTGATTTTGCTTGATTGGTGTTTAGTACAGTAGGTTATGAATGCAAGGGCTTTATCAAATTGCTTTTTGAAGTATCCTAGTGAACCACCTTTAACATTTAACGGTGAACGGTTTGTTCACTGAGTAAAATAACACCTTCATTTTATGTACTGAATTCACTAACGCTTTCATTTGTGTTCTCTGGCCTTGTTTCCATTTACATACAGGTAGGTACAGTATGTGAGTTATGGTATCAGTCTAAGTTATTTACAGATTCATGCATGCAGTGTCTGACTCAAATATCCACAAGGTACTGCTTATTCCATGCTGGGGAAATTGAATTGAAATCTCTAATCATGTAGAGCCCTAACCACTTCTCCACACTACTGCCTGAAACTGGTACTCAAGCTGCTTCTTGTTTACCTGAACTGAGACACAAGAGAGCTTCAAATATATTTATTTGGCTTAAAAATGAATTTCTTTAAATGTATAACACTATTTATTTTCTTATCCAAAGGGTAATTTGGCAACTAAAAGTATGTCACAGCCTGTGATCTTCTTGATAGTGTTGTGCAAAACTGTATTATACACTTTTTTGACCATATTAAGAGTTCAGTGCTGAAACACACAGTGTTCTAAATACAGTTAAACAAGTGCATAATCATTTTTTTTGCTACACTTCATTTGATTTCAGTATTTTTGGCAGTATATTGCAGTATTCTGCTGGCTTTCTTTATTGGTTCCACAAATTGTTTACGAATGTTAATAATCTAATTACTTATATAGGTTTTTTTTAAAATAAATGTATTTTTATAACCTTCTTATGTATCTAGAACACATAAATATCTTAAATATTTTTTAGTTAATTTTTTGTGTATTTGTATCTGCCATTTAATACTGTAGTTTAGATTCCCTGACAAGTATTACAGTATTTGCCGTCAAGTTGGGTATAACCTGTTTAACTCAAGTTGAATTTCAGAAACAAATTATTTGTTGAAAAGTTAAATATGTTTTACATTTTTTACTTCGCAGCTCAACGGCACAAGAGCAACTCACCTTCGATTCATCATCACTTCTGGATTTGACCATTTTGTTTCAGTTCACAGAGTAATGGTTGAAGGATCAAGTGAAAGCAACCTGTGAGATCTTCTGTTTTGACATTGTATGTTTAAGACGAGCTGAATGCACCGAAGGGAGTTATATATTTCTATACACTACATATAAATTATTTTAAAATGGTTGTTCTATCATGTAGGGTGAATTTGAAAATTGGTATTTACAGTTCATCCATTTTGTACCATGATGAATTAACTTGTATATTTCATAGAATTCTGTTTATTTTTATTTACTTTGGAAGAAGAAGACTGCTGTCTGCTAAAACAGATTTTTTTTAACCATCAGTTAAAGTAGCTGTCGTTATTCCATTTATTCATAATTGCAACAATTCTGCTTCACTTTTCTCCATTCTATACAGTATATTTTCAAGAAGTGCTTTTTTGTAACGTTATTATTTTTGACAAATATATATATTTTTTACACCTCAACACTAAAGTGTCTAATCCCTTATCCTAGCTGCACATTTAAAGTGAGTTTTTTAAAAGGTCTTCAGATGTGCAGGAATTAACTTTTATCATTCTGAAATTTGCAGGATATATGAGATCATTTCCAACAGTGAAATGAGTTTTTTTGGAACACGTTTATAAAAATATGAAATGCATTGCAGTAGCCATCAATTTCTAAAGATATATGTTCCAGTGATGATAACTGTGAGATGGCAAATGGGTTAAATATAGCTAATAGCATGATCTATTTTATGATTTTGTAACAATAAAAAGTATATTATGATCAGAGTTTTACAACATTCTAATTCTGTTTCAGTCTGAGATCTACTGATCAGCCAGAGTTCCTCATGTTTATTGTAAAAAGTTTCCTTTACCTGACTTCTCAAAATTTCAGTAGTTTACAAATACTGGTAAAGCAAAACTCTCACATTCTTACTATATTTCTCAGTTACACAGTTGATCTGTCTTCATGCTAATCAAGTATAAGCACCCTAGCATTGTTATGATTTCTTACAGTTACAGGTTGTTTCTTGTAAATAAATCAAATGTCAGTAATCAGCAATGTAAACTTAAATTGTGTTTCCTACATCAGAATTTTTTCAGTTGAACTTAACATCATCTTGGCAGAACAAGCCTTCTGATATTTACTGCAAATTCAGAATAGTTTCTTATCAATTAATTACATTAATCAATAATCCAAGGTCCACTTACTCTTTGTATAATACAGTACAGGCTGTAAGTATTTGGACGGTGACACAATTTGTGTTGTTTTGGCTCTGTACTCCAGCACATTGGATTTCAAATGAAACAATGACTATGAGGTTAAAGTGCAGAATGTCAGCTTTAATTCGAGGGCATTTACCACCTATATTGCGTGAACCTTATAGGAATCACAGCCCTTTTTATACATAGTCCCCCTATTTGAGGGGTTGGTAATTGGACACATTAACATAATCTTAAATAAAATTGTCATGTTTAGTACTTGGTTGCAAATCTTTTGTAATCGACTGCCTGAAGACTGCGACCCATAAACCACCAGATGCTGGGTACCTTCCCTGGTGATGCTCTCCCAGGCCTGTAATGCAGCCTTCAGTCTGGTCTTCAGTAAGTGAAACGCATGCTCAATGGGATTCGGGTCAGGTGATTTACTTGGCACAAAGAACATTCCACTTTTTGGCCCTGAAAAACTCTGTGCATGCTTTAGCAGTATGTTTGGGGTCATTGTCCTGCTGCAAGGGGAAGTGCCGTCCAATAAGCTTTGAGGCATTTGGTTGGATCTGAACAGATAAGATGCTTCTGTACGCTTCAGAATTCATCCTGCTGCTGCCGTCCGCAGTCACATTATCAATAAAGACAAGTGAGCCAGTTCCACTGGCAGCCATACATGCCCAAGCCATGATGCTACCTCCACAGATGACGTGGTATGCTGTGGATCATAAGCAGTTCCTTTTTTTCTCCACAATTTCCTCTTTCCACCTCTCTGGTACAGGTTAATCTTTGTGGCATCTGTCCAGAAGACTTTGTGCAAAAACTCTACAGGCTTATGTACTTTTTAGCAAACTGTAACCTGGCGTTTCTACTCTGGAAGCTTACCAGTGGTTTGCATCTTGTGGTGAACCCTATGAGGTCATGCTGGTGTATGGTAATCTTTCACACATCTATGCCTACATCCTGTAGAGTTCGTGATCTGTTCAACAGTCGAAAAGGGGTTTTTCTTCACGATTGAAAGTATTCTTCGGTCACCCACTACTGTGGTCTTCCGTGGTCGTTTGCTATTGCCAAGTTCACCAGTTCTTGCTTCTTAATGTACCAAACAGTTGAGCAAATCAAGCTATGGCTCTAAACTATAGCACCAAACAAAACACCAAGGACAAAGAGTATCAAGTTGTTGATACGCTGATGTTTAAAATAACTAGTTGATGGTCATCAAAATGTCTTCAATCCAAACAACTCGAGGCAGTTTAGGGATCCACACAAATCAAACAAACTTTTCTCCCCAAGTCTACCTATATACAGTATTGCATTAGCAATACATTTTGTTCATTGAGAATGTAGCAGATTGGGGTTATCATTTTTTTATATAATCTATAAAATCCAATTCAAGAATTTGAGAAATCTGCATTTGAAGCTCTACATTATACCTACTAAATTATATTAACACTTCATTATACTGGTATACCCACCAGCATACCCACCATCCTTTAGGTTCGTCCCCTTCCTCCCTCAATACAACTTCACAGGGATTCAGAGCTGGAGAATACTGTGGCAGATACCAAACCCGACCAAAGCATCAGGCATATCAATCTGAAGGCACTCTAGCCTTTAAACAAGCAAGCCTTTGCTGTTTCAATGGTACTAACCCCCCAAATGTTAGAGCATTTCCATTTATGTTTCAAAATACATAGATCTTTTTTCACTGAATTTCATCAGTTTTTGTTGACATTGTACATTTACAGAAAAACAATTCTAAGTTCAGCAAGGTGGTTTTTAATATCATTTTTCTAAATATGGAGTTTCAATCTCTTTTTCAACATATCCCTCACAAGAATACTCTCAATTTAAGTATAGTATCAGGCCAGTGTCAATTACTATAAATAATTCAAGAATTGGAAAATATTAAAAGCTGACTTGCAGGTCAGTAACCTTCTTTACGTAGTGTTTTTTTTCTTGGGGTGCATTTGGACTGTGAGGACCTAGTTGAAAGGGGTAAGGATAGTAACAGATTACAAAACGCTTTATTAAGAATGCTTCTTTGTATACTACTTATATGAGCTATTGTTATTAAATTCTTAAATCATGCACCTTGAAGTGCTACATGCCTGTTAATGGGAAAAAAATAAAAGCAGAACACTTATTGTTAAAAATAATTTAATGTAATATACATCTTACAGACTTCAGAAATGGAGAACAATAATAAACTCCTTAAAGTTGGAAAAATACATACCTTCATGTACTCCATGTATGTTATTTCACATTTCATATCACTGTACAATGGAAATAAATCTTATTTCAACTCATAAATAAATTGGCACTTATATGCAGTTTTTCTGTTAAATAAAAAGGAAAAAAAATTCCTACTGTATACTGATTACAGATGTCAAAAATACCAAAGTGTTATATAAATGTCTAGAGTCAAGAGAAGTGCCTTTATATACCTGGATTACACATAAATTAAGAATTTCCAGATATGAAAGTAACAGTACGAGACAAATGTATATAAAAAAAATTGATCACAGAACAGCTGCCCTAGCCATAATATCCCACACAACTGAACTAACAGTCAAGACTGGAAGATATAACAATGATCCTTCTAATTGGATACATGGAAATCCAGTGATTATTCCACTGCAATTTTTACTATCTTTGCATTTGATCTTAAATTAAAAAAAAAAAGTGTCCCGGACTTCTTGTCTTCGGAAATGGAAAGTCCCTTTTCATTTTTCACTTGTTCTGTAAATTTGTCCCATTTACAGTGTTTTTTCTGTCATTTGCAGCTTTTTGTTTCATTTTCATTATTTCAGCATCACTGTTAAAAAGATAAAATAACATTAGCCTGTTAAAATCTTATTTTAAGAGAATAAGGTGAAATTATCTTAAAGAATAAATTTAGTACATACAGTAATTTACAAAATGTTGAGTCGGAGACAACACCATAATAAAAGGAAAGAACAGAAATTTCACTTAAGTACAGTACATATGAAACCTTGAAAAAACCTTGTTTATTCTGGAACCACATGTAGGACAGGAAGAATATTACTGGTCTTAATTCTTTGTGATGGTAAACTTAAGCTGATACAGGGCACATTCTGATTATGTTTATGTTATCGTACCAGCAGCCATATCACTCTGCAACTCACACCTGGCAGCCCACTGAAGCTAAGTAGGTGTGAGCCTGGTCAGTACCTGGATAGAGACCTCTTGAGAAAAACTAAGGTTACTGCTTAGGTGTTAGTGTTGCTAGCAGGGGGCGCTCACCCTGCGGTCCATGTGGGTCCTAATGCCCCCGTATAGTGACGGGGACGCTATACTGTAAACAGGCGCCACCCTTTCGGATGAGACGCAAAACTGAGGTCCTGACTCTCTGTGGTCATTAAAAATCCCAGGGCGTTTCTCGAAAAGAGTAGGGCTGTAACCCCAGCGTCCTGGCCCAAATTCCCATTGGCCCTTACCAATCATGGTCTCCTAATAACCCCTATGAATCTATGAATTGGCTTCATTACTCTGCTCTCCTCCCCACTGATAGCTGATGTGTGGTGAGCGTTCTGGCTCACTATGGCTGCCGTCACATCATCCAGGTGGGGCTGCACATTGGTGCAGGGGAGTCCCCATTACCTGTAAAGCACTTCGAGTCCAGAAAAGCGCTATACAAGTGTAAGCAATTATTTTTATTATTATTAATTATGTTTCTGATAATGGATGGGTGAATAGGGTTTCCAATTAACTTTCTCTGGAAAAAGATTACCCAACATCTGCTGAACATGCTTCATTGGCCAGGCTGTGGCAGAGTTGGATGGACATTTGACCACTGGCAGTAAAAGACTATAGTTTACTAAAGATTTTTTTAAATATCTTTTCATAACAGATTTTTCATAACACCAGTAATGTGTCAAAATAACTAAATGGTAAAAAAAAGTAATTAAGGAGCAGAACAAAGTCTTCTACTGCCTTGCCAATCATAACTCATAAACACTATCTTGACTCATTCCAAAGAAACAATCCCATCAAGTCCTCTTTCCAGGACTTCCCCATAAATATCCTCTGGTGAAAATGGTATAGAACACTTCGATGACTACCTCTGGTCACGTTGAAGCAATATGCAAGAACTGTGTGGCTTGCATAGGGGTGATCCCAATATATTCCGCTAGTTCTATCAATAATTACCAAACAACCAGATTTTTTGTTATATTGTGTATTTATCAAATCAAAATTAGATTACGTTAATCGAAACATTTCAGTAAAAGTACATACTGTATATACCCACCAGAAAAGACAGAAATACAACACTAATAACACCTAAGCTTATATTATATATAAGCTTTAAAAGCACACACAACTCATAACTAGATCTATTTCAAGTATGCATTTCTCAGTGCAAGATATAATTGGGAATGATGGGGAACATACTGGTGTTTCACTGTAATGTAGTGCTTTATCACTGATAAATAGAATACCTAAGAAGGCAAGTACAGTATTTATTTTCCAATTTCTTCAGTAAAAATAAACATTCTGTATCGTTATTGTATCTGAGTTGTATACTTCTTAAATACCTTTTTAGGTTCATTCTTTGA